GCAATCACCAAAGCACAGTAGGGATCCGAAGATGTGTCGGTGGTATGATGTTGAACCGTATTACTGGGACTTGTCCAAGCTGTAAGAAGGAATATCAGAAGAGCAATCCTCACCACACCAAGATATCTGGCCAATGCAGATTTGCCGAAAAATGGAAACTGCCAGATAACTTTGGCCAGCCGCGTCCGGCGGGACAAGCCGCTCCTGCGGCGCCAGCCGCGGAAGCGGCTCCAGCCGCAGAATCGGCGCCAGCCGCAAAAGCGGCGCCGGCCGCGAGAGCGCGCATACGTGCGCCTAGGCCGCCACGGCCTGGTGAGGGCGATCCAACCGCAGGCGCCAGCAGCCATGACATCACCAGAGCCGACGGGGCTAATGGTGGCAACAGAGGCGCTGGCAGCTCTGACGATCACCGTAGACTGCCACAAGTTGCAGCAAGGCGCGGACGCATGGAGGGAGGAGATCCTCCACCACCGCCGCAGCCTCAAGCAGAGCCGAGGCCAAGGCCAAGGCTCCCTGATTGGACTCGCTTCGACGTTCAGCTCAGCCGCCAAAACCTGCGCAGCTTCGACCCAGCTGTAGTGCAGCGAGAACTCCGCAAACTCCACCTGAGATGGTTTCATGCTAAGGAGCCAAAAATGCGGATGATTCTAACCAAGGTTGGTCTGGGTGAAACCCGTTTGAGTCTGATCAAAGGCATTTGTGTCTCGTGTAGAGAATGTCGAGCCTGGGATAAACCAGGCAACACGGTGATGCCTTCCGTGTCACTGCCAGGACGTTTCAACGAAGAAGTCGAATGTGATCTCTTCTTTTATAAACAGGAACATATTGTTTTTCACATCATCGACCGTTGTATTCGCTGGGCAGCTGGCACAGAGATTCCTGATAAAGCTATGCATACTGTTCTCGATGCCTATCATGCGACTTGGATGCAGCATGGCCCTGCCAAAATCTTATACTCCGATGGGGAAGGAGCACTGAATAATGATACGGCAAAGGCCATCCTTAAGGCTAAGGGAACAGAGCTTCGTATTCGAGCGCGTGGCCAACACGCTACAACTATCGAAGCTAGGAACGGCATCCTTCGACACCTCCTACACGTGATGGGAGAAGAATTGAATAGATTACATATCCCTCTCAATTTCACTCGTCTCTTACAAGAAGCCTTGTTTGCCAGCAACGCATTTACCTTCTACAATGAAGTGTCTCCGTACAATGCGCTGTATGGTAGACAGCCAGCTATGCTTCCTGATTTCCCTGTCTTGGATCATGATCAGCCCACTGAATCATCAGATCACTCAAGGGAGGACACAATCAGGAGGGTTAGTCTGGAGGCAATCACGCAGGCCACTGCGGTTGCCAAGACGAACAGGGCTCTCCGTACAAAGACTACTGCTACGGGTGAATTTCACTATAAGGAAGGAGATCTCGTGGACTATCACCGTCCGACCACCACGAAAGACGACTGGGGTGGATGGAGTGGTCCATACCCGGTCATCCGCAACGAACCTGACCGAGGCCAGGTCATCGTGAAGGTCGGCAATCGCGAAGTACGAGTACAGTATCCTGACACATGACACACACTGTACATCGAAGCACTTATGGTCCGCGAGATAGGATCGGACAATACGGCCCTTCGAACAGTATTGGCCTTTATTGCCGGTCTGCCAGCGGGGAAACCCGCCATGACTTTCGGTTATCTACCAACGAAACAGGGTCGGCTGCAGATGACTGCTGCGAGCCGACTTTCACCTAAGGTGCACTTGGCTCTTCAGTACCTCATACGCAACTACTTTCGTATTGAAAACGTTGTCGCTGTACGACTCGCCAAGAGCTTGACGAAGCTGCCTGCCGCACCCTATGCAGACAGCTGTACACTAGTGCACTATGATAACGATGTGACCCCAGGGTTTCATTACTATGAAGCTGATGGCACTGCCTTGAACATCTATGACATCACAGGATCTACACACTCACGCATCATCCAGTGTCTTAAATCCAGGAAGCCGTCTGCTGGGTTTGACAAAGATCTCACTAAGTTTGAGGAACTCGCTGATGGTCCACCACCAAGCGAATCACCTCCAGCAGCTGCTCCTGAGGAGCCTCCTACGGACAACGATGGTCGGCTCCCGACCATCATAGAGGAGACAGAAGAAGATCTGGATGCTTTTGTCTTGAAGTCGTGGTATGCTGAACTGATGGATGACAGAACACTCCTTGAAGCTGACACAGAAGAAGTCATGCACACAGTTCCTACATACATGACAGACTCACAGTGCGTGTTGGTCTCTACGACCTGTGAAGATGTGCAAGGCCACTTGCCGGTGCGGGGTCACCCGCCAGGATACGACATGGACACTTCTTACTACGTTCCTTTATGCTCCACGGAACCGGATAGCAAATATGATCTGGACTCCGATGAGCACGGGAAGTATATCGAGCTCTGCTTCACTGCAGACATGTCCAAAGTCGTCCTGTCCGAGCAGCAACACCGATTGTTGGATGACAGCAGCGTCACAACTATGCGAGTATACGTAAGTGCTGCTTCCAAACGTGCCGTGGTCGTCAAGGAAGACGATCTACTCACGAAGGCCGACATCCAAGCAAACCCGGTCAAAGTCTCCAAAGCCCTCTACACAGAATTGAAGACTTGGCTTGACAACAAATGCTTCCAGATGACTGACTTGAGCAAAGCGTCTAACATCATGACGTCACGCTACGTATACAAATGGAAGTTTGTCAAGAACGAAAAGGGCGAAATGGAAAGGACGATCAGGTTACGCTTGGTACTCCGTGGCTTTATGGACCTCGAAGCCTTTGATGTCGAAACCTTCTCTGGCACGGCAAGGAGGTCAAGCCAGAGACTGCTCGCGAGTTCTGCTGCATGCAACAAAGCTTGGATCATCGCTTCCCTGGACATCAACATGGCTTTCTTGAAGGGACTGACCTATGGCGAGCTCGCCGCGGCAACGGGCGAGAAAGAGCGTGTGGTGTGCTTCACACTACCACCTGGGTCAGCAGCTGTCCTTCGCACGCTGCCAGGCTTTGAGTCATATGACGAATCAAAGCATTGTCTTCGGTGTCTGAAGCCGGGGACGGGCACGAAGGATGCTCCCAGGGCATTCTCGCTGAAGCTCAGGTCCATCACTAGGAGCTTGGGGCTACAGCCTACTTCATACGACGAAGAGTTCGAGATGAGCTCAAACCTCTTGACAGCCAAGCACGTTGATGACATCAATATGACTGGGAAGGAAGAGGCTATCGACAAGTATGTCAAGTGTGTTGAAGATACGTTTGGGAAGTGCAAACTGAACAAGCACACATACACGAACTGTGCTGTCCGGTACAACAAGACCGATGATGGGAGCGTCACTCTCGACCAGGACGAATACATCAAACAGCTTCGTCCTATCACACATCCAGAACTCACTGGAGCTGATCCTGAAAGCAAGGCGACGAAGACAATTTCTGATATGTTCGTCAGTCTTCGTGGCGCTCTAGCCTATGCGTTGATCACGCAGGTATGGCTAATGGTCTATGTTGTCTCACTACAACGCATCCAAGAACCGACAAACATCCAGGTACGACGACTAAACGCGGTTACCAGAAAATTGCAGGCAGGCCCGAAGAAGATCGTGTATCATGCTATGACTCCAACAGGAGAGGTCGACCTGCATAGCGATTCTGGCTATCGTCGTCTCAACGGAGATGAAGACGACGAAGTCAAAGGCTATGGTATCCGCGGGGCTAACCTGCTGAGGCGTGGCCACACGCAAGCGGGGAAACCCGTCGTGCACCTGGTGGACGCATACTGCAAGTCTCATCGACTGCAAGTGCGTTCAAGCTACTCTGCGGAAACACTGGCAGCAGCCCACAACTTGGAAGACTGCTACCCGACCATTGTAACGCTCCACGAGCTACACTCGGGACCATTGACCCCCACACAGTTGAAGAACATATTGGAAATGGGTGGTCTATGTATCAAGGTCACTCTGACTATTGATGCCGAGTCTGTCTTCAAATCTTTGTCTAGCAAGGATCTGAAGAAGCCCACAGAGTGTACTCTGCTTGGGCACATCAGCTGGATTCGCCAGATGATGGAACGTGGAATCGTGGAAAGCGTCCAATGGTGTGACACGCGAGATATGACTGCCGATGGTCATACCAAAGGTAGCATTGACCGCGCGTTGCTCCTACAAGTAATGGCCGGCCAGCAATCCTTCACGCACGAGCTGAAGAAACATACGCCGTATAGGGCGGGCAGGTCGTCTCAGGACGGCCCTGCCTCCCGAGCCAGCGGGGAAACCCGCGGGCAGGTGCGCTTTAGCAGCGAGGAAACTCGCCGGTAGCGAGGCTACTCGCGCGCCCTTTCCTTGTAGGCAGCCGCTGCTGCTTAGCACTGTTTTTTCCGCATAATATAAAAGTGCGGTACCTGCTCGTCTCCTCCCCCTCCGACTTTAAACGGAGAAGGTTAAAGGCGAGGTATAAATCGAGCATGTACCGCTGCCGTGCCTGGCTCAAGCCGGGCCCGGCATGATATGTGACTGTGCCTCACCGAGGCGCACTACTTGCATCTGAGATCGGAAAACTTCCTTTCCATTGACGATGCCCATCTTACTCTTTACTCCAGATCCCATGCTTCGTCTCGCTCTCTTGCTCATGCGCTATGAGCCTAAGCCTGGGATATGGAAGCGCCTAAGGCGGACTGTATACCTAAGCTTACCAGCTTGTTTTCGACTTTGGTTGCGACAGCGCGTCGTTGAGCGGCGCGGCAGCCCCCGCTGAGCACAGACCCCCCCCCAAAGTATCAGCGAGACCAGTCGGCCTTGAACACACACATGCCTTCCTGGACTCTGGGCGCGTCTCGGCACTCCCTTCGCCGCCGCCACACCCTCGTCAGGGCCAGCGAATCGGGTGACGGCGACAGCGACGGTGGCCTTCGTGAGGACGTGGAGGGGACTGCAATGGCTGCGGAAGCCGCGGCCGGACAGCGCGCGCGGCAGTCCTCCGGAGACGCTGAGCTTGGAGGCCACGGCGGCGGGTTGCCGCCAGCCCCGCCTTCGCCGTCCTCGTTGGTCGGCGACATCGTCATCGTCGTCGTCGTCGTCCTCCTCGTTCCCGAGCTCCTTATCCGCCTCGCTTTTCTCTTCTTCATCGTTCTCGTTGTCCTCGTCCTCCTCGTCCTCGTCGTCGTCTTCCTGATCCTCCTCCATGACCTCACTGCCAAACGGCTCCTCCCCTCCCCTCGTCTCCCCCTCCTGCCCCCCTACTTGTTTTCCTCGCCCTCCTGCTGCTTCTCTAGCCTCGCTCCAAGCCAGACTCGCCCTCTCGCTGCCAGCCACGCCATCGCCTACGCTCGGAAGAGCCTCGCCCTGGTCCTCCCAGTGGGGGTCCTCCGCGTTCAAGCGATCTCCAGCCGACGTGAGTATTTCACTCTGGTGGAGTTCATCTGCGTATCCATGGCATGGTTGCGTTTCCATTCATCTCCGTATCCATGCCACGTTCCGTGGCTCAAGACGTTGATCTTCCTCCACTTCATCGTCGTCTTCGGCCTCCTCCCCCTCCTCTCTCTCTCTCTCTTTTATCCCCTTCCGCCTTCCCCCCCCGTCCCCCTACCTCTCCTGTCCTTCCCATACCACTTCTATCCCTTCTCCTGCTGCCCTTCTCTCTCGCCCTCCTCCCCCTTCCTCCGCCGCCGCAGTTCGCTTGCGGCCTGCGGACTTTTGCACTCGTTGGCTCCTCCTCTTCCTCTTCCTCCTCCTCTTCCTCCTCCTACTCCTTACCGCGCCTCCTCCGTGCATCCCCCCTCTGATCTCGTACTCCCGCCGCTCCTTCCCCCGCCGCCCTCCTCCGCCTGCGCATCCACCTGCTCCTGCAGCCCCTGCGCCCATCGCCCCTCCCTCTCCCCAGTCTGACTGGCACTCTCCTCTCTCTCCTGCGAGCGGCGGCGAGCCTGGGGGGGGAAGCGAGAAGGCGCATGCCTTCTCAGAAGGCGGCGGGGCTTCTCAGAAGCCCTCGGGCCTTCTGAGAAATTTTGTATGCTTCCACGGAAGGCTTAGAATTCAGTCGGGCCTGTCCCTCTACAGGAGGGATATTCAATCAATAAGCCCAAACATAGTCTGGGGACGATTTTTTCCCGGAAAGGGCGTGGGCCCAGGGTTCTCTTTTAGTAGGTAAACCTGTCCCCCGGTGCCAACTTGAGGGAGGCCGGCGAATTTTTTCCCTGATAAATAACGAGGTCGAAGGAGGCCGGCGAATT